CGCTTTTAACGAGGCGAAAAGTAAACACTAAACAAATTGAAGTGCACATCAGAATTCCACCGATTTATGACAGGCGGTTGTAAAAGTATGGGCTGAGGAAACGAGCACCCTTGTGACTTGGCGAACGTTAATGAGCAGCTTATCTTCTGGGCTGTTAATTTTTAAATCCCCACTTTTCAGGCTGCATCTGCTATCAGTTTTCAAAGCTCGCTATTCTTTTGCTGGCGCGTTGCTTCAGAAAGTTTTTTCATGGTCTTCCAGTTGTTTTGTATACCCTTGCTATCTTGTCTGCTCTTTGCCATTTGATGATCACGTTATCTTCTCATTCTTCCTCTGTCATCTTGATTACATGTCGAAATATGGCAGTTATGGTTTGTTAATTTGGGGAAAGAACGGGTCTCAGTCAAAGGCATTTCGAACTTCGTCGCTTTTCATTATGTTATGAGGATATGTTTCGTTAAGCGAATAATTCAGTGTAGTTCAGTCAGGACAACTCTGTTGTTGTGCCTTGTTGAAGCTACGAACCGCATTGGCAACAGCCTTTCATATTTGCGTTCTTTGGCACCCTCAACCATCGACCAACAGATTAGCTGCAGTTACAACAGTGACCCCAGAATCGAAAACGTAAAATCTTGCTTGTTCTCTTTCACATCAAAGTTTTGCCTCTTCATGACCTACTTATGACTTACACTTTTCCTACTTTTGATTTCCAAAACGAAGTCAAAAACGCCCTGTTTCGAAAGGTTTTAGGATCCGGGAAGACCGGTCGTTCGAACGGTGTTGAATTGAAATGACATCGGCAAAACCAGATCCATCATCCTTTATTTTGATATGCACTTATTTATCATTTGATGATCGCTTCAGTTTGTTTCGTGTTCGTGCTATAGTGCGTTGGAATGTATATCAACTTTTGGACAGCTTTTGCCCGCGTCAGTTAAGAGAAACGAGGTTACAGTTTAGCATTCTAATGCTTTATGTCGGTCCTCACGGGTCTTCTTGAGCAGGGCCGATTGTGGTTCTTGTTTTTTCAAATGTAAGATTTTTCCAAGTACTAAAAGACTTGCAAATTCCAACCAGTACTTTTTTTTCGATCACTCATTCCGGTACCATGTAACCCGATTTTGCGGAATTATGCATGTTCACGTGTTTCCTGATGCACACATACCTGTTAATGTTGTTCGTAGTGCTAATAGGATTATAGCTTATAGCATTTTACGGGTAGCAGCTCTTAAAACATCCTAGCTGACAAACAGGGTATGCGAGATGTATCGAAAAACTGCGTTACTAAATTTCCATATGGTTATAACGGACTTAAATGAACCAATGGGGATCTCTTAGCTGCTGGTCCACGCTATAGTGTCAAACAGCAAACAGCCTGGTTTAACGAAACTGTGGCTATTTATTATGTAGAATGATCTCGATTTTTATTTATTTGTATTTTATAGAGGTTCATACTATAGGGTGAATTACTGCTTTGGATGTTTGCCGCAGCTATTGAAGACTATTCCACCGTAGCGCAAACAAATAAATTTCAATTTTTATTGAATCGCTGTTCCAGTCTACTCAAAAGCCTGTATAAGCCACTCTACATTATGATGTAAACAAAATAGACCGTAGAAAGTGGCAGTGCCTTTTTTAATAATTAGTGATAATGCCATTGGTGACGCGCACACGCAACACGGACTATCCCATCAGATGTATCGAAGTAGCCATTTTAAGCTCATGCAGTAAACCGTTGTCGTAAATGAGGTCACTCGTGGCATAAATACTCCAAAATTCATCCTGTCCTATTTATTTGGTGTAAACGGTTTCCGTTCGAATAATATTTTTATTGTTTTTATTTGTTTCTGTTTTCTTTTACTTGAATGTTTTTGATAGTCCTAGTTTTCGTTTTGTCGTCGATGCTATTACACCAAGTTGTACTTATTGTAATCGATAAATGGGTTCGCCGTGTTCACATTTTTTTGGTTTAATAAAAAATTCCTTTTGTCAGATTCGTCATTTCAGCCACCATTTCGACGATGATCGGCAGCATTCCATCAATTAGAAGACATGTAAAAAATGTGGCCTGTAATTATTCGGACGCGCAAGTGAAAGTAAGAGCGAATTCTTTTCCTTTCTTTTTTTCTGTTTTTTTATATTGCGAATCAGCTACTTTTTTACCGTTCTTTTGGACGTAGTGAGTGATAGGTCATTTTATTGACCGCTAACTGATCTCATAATCGGTCATCTGTCACGATTTTACCCAATCTCTTTGACATTTTCAATTCTTGTCAGATAAAACTTCATGTCACTGACACAGATGGAATATTTTTTCAGATGATTAGATAGATCTTATCGACGTCACTCACTCGACCATTATTTGACTTACAGTCGAAACTTGGCAGTTTTTAATCGCCCACTTCATTTGGCCTTCGCCTTTCTGAGATATATCAGTGAGTTCCCTTGCTTTAGGCAAGTAGCAATAGACTACGCACTACGGTTTTTGCTAAGCTGCATTATTTGTCTTGAGAAATAAGGCAGCTATAGCTGATGGCATTAAAACAGAGATCAGCACCGCACCGTACGCTTATGGTAAAAGGATGCTTTATTTGCAGCTTGTCATGAAAATATGAACAGTTGTTGCTGGTAAAATTTTGCTCGAGTTAGCTTCCGTCTCCCCAACCATTGGTCGCGAATCCGTGCGGGCACCACGTCTTAGTCAGGGCAGAATGAAGCAGGCATGAGTCAAGCTAGTGGGGGGGGGGAGCATATATCCATAGATTTCATCGGTAAATTAAAATCATCCATTCATTAAGGCGGTGCCAACGTTACAACTTATGTACAGTCGTTATTTCTTTACATTGAGAAGTGACAGCTACGATGATTTAAGAACCTATTGCAAATGCTTCCAGA